GGTTCGTGCCTATATGCATTCCGCATTATTGTCAATCCAATCTATCGCATCGAGTCCTATCACGCTCTCAAGACACCATAACATTTTTTAAATTGAAGAAAAAAAAAAGACAGTGAGGCGTAGATTTGCACATGATGTTTGATACAGCCTTAGCTAATGGTTAAACTATCAGCCAGCGAGTAACCACTAAGCTAAGTTAATTAACAATAACTCCGTAAAAGTGCCCGCCCCTGACAGTCTATTTGGTTGGAGGGAGTTTCTAGGAGGGATTGGGAGTTTAAAGGGATGAGGCTATTTGACTGTTTTGTTTGGTTGGGGGACATGGGAATTTTGGTGGGATGGGGATGGGGAATTGAGGAATGAACTCCCTCCTTTTCAATACCTAGGTAGGGGCAGGTAATTGGGAGGGAATTCCTCCTTTACTTCGCCTAAACAAATCTCAGCCATCCGTTTTCATTAATGATCTAATCTCCAACTAAACTCCCTATCAATTTCCACCACCTCTACCAAACAAGAGACTAGGATGAAAAATCAAATTCCCATCTTAATCTCACCATCAATTTCCTCGTGTAAACTCCCAATCCCCTTCCCTCAAGTTGCCAAACAAGCCGTGAATTCATCCTAAACCTTAAGGTGTAGTAGAAATGGCCACTACTGACTGTGGCCGGGGGTAGAGGGCAATGCGCCACTGGATTCAGAGCGGTGGAGGGGGAAGCCCACCCTGCGACACAAGACGATGCGACCACGAGATCTCCCCACCACCGCAGGGGCAGACCTAGCTTCCAGATCTACAAGGCTGAAGGCCAAAATCGGAGAGGAAAAAAAAAACGAGGGAGGGGGGGGTGCGGGGTCCGGGTGCTCACCGGAGCGGAGGCGGAGAGCAGCAGGACGACGGGGCACCCACCGCTGCTGCCCCCCCTCCCTCCCTCCCTCCCCCTCCTCCTCGGCGGCGGGAATCGGCGAGGAGACGGGGATTGGGCAGTGGAGGCCGCAGGTGGTGATGGAGATCGGCGGCACGCGACGGCGCAGCCGCAGGCAGAGAGTGAGGACTCGATGTCGATGGAGATCGATCGATCGATCGATGGATCCTTGTTTCTTTGTTACAACAAGGCCGCCAGCACAAAAGAGGCCGGCCCATTAAGCTAGTGGAGATGGAAATGAAGCGGCATGTTAAGGGCTCCTTTGAAACTAATATTTTTAAAGGGACTATCTAAAAAACTGCCATAAGTTCTTTTAAGAGAAAAACTTTCAAATCTAACTATAATATAATTTAACTATAACTATACTATATCTATAATATAGCTTGTATATAAATATTAGAATAATACATGCAACTTTATATCTAACTTATATAGATATTACAATGTAGTTACACTACTATAACTATGTTATAGTTACATTTGAAAGTTTTTATTGCCAAAAAAAAAGTTGGGCAATTTTTTTAGCAATTCCATTTTTAAAAAGTTTAGTAGTTCATTCATATGAAAAAAATTTCCTAATGTGACCACATTTGGATCATATGAATAGTTATCGAAAAAATCATATGAAATTCTTTTGGATTGGCTCAAAACGTAGGAATTCTAACATGAGCTTCAACCTGTTGGAAAAATCATTTTTCGTCATTCTCTCTCTTTCTTATTCCTGCGCTTTTCCAAACTGCTAATCCAATATTTTTCATGTATTTTTTTTCCAATAATCCATAGGATTTGAGCTATACGGCACTTCAATCCTATATTTCTCTTGTTTTTGCGTTTTCAGAATCATGCGTTCCAAAAGAGCCCTAAACAACTTGAATGTTTACCGATACATGTAAACATGCGATACGGGTTTTTCGTACCACAGTCTCGATCCGCTAATAAACCCAATCAAGTAACACCACATGTCTGATATTTCATGCTCACTCCCGTGCACCAACTATAACGCTTAAAATAATTCAACAATATAACTAATTTGTTTGCTAATTTGATTTAAACCGACTCGCTTGTTAAGTGAACGTGCGAGGAAACTTCAAAAGTCGTCAAATATAGTAAAACAGATGATAAAACATGCCAATAAATATGTGTATGAACCTCTTGAGTCTACAACATCCATTGAATAGATCATATTTTCATGAATAGTTACACATTGGTCCTATCAAATAAAAATAACTTTAATAGACTTATATCAATATTAATACTCCTTTGTTCATAAGTATAAGTGTTCTTGTGCTGTTTTTCGATATTAAGGTAGAAGGGGAAAAACTCGTATGTCCATCATTAAAGCCAATTTGAATTCACATACTCTCTCCGGTTCCCTAACTTTTGACATTTCGAACAACAATGATACAACATATGAAACATATCTTTGATTATAATTTTCTATTATAATATATATAAATAAGTAAATACTTAAGTCTATTAAAGTATTATTAAAACTAATTATATATCGTGTTATAGTGTCTTCAAGCTAAATAGTTTTAAACTAAATACTTTAAAAGTTACTGGTAGTCAAGTTCTAATTGTTTTATCTTAATATTTTTAAAACACTAAGAATTATAAATCGGAGGGAGTAAATGCTTACATATGTTACAAAATTTAAATGCCTGGAATATTTATATTTATGGACGAATAGAATATATACATTTTGCTTTTAATTAAGATCTTAAGAGAACCTTATCCTTTATCTTTCTAACAATAGAAAAGGAGTCAAGACAGCCCTAGCCGGGCAGCCCCATGTAAGGCCCCACGGTGGCAATGAAATGTCATGATCTACATCAATGGACTTTGGATTCCAGACCCCCATTACACATGGCACAGCACAGCATTGCCAGCAGGTTAACAAAACAATAAGCAAACTACTCCAACAAAGAGCAGAGGATGCATGCATGCTTACAATGCAAGAGATGCAGAGAGTGAGCCCTGCACTATGTACCACACACACAGACACACTTAGGGTGAGTTTGAGAGATAGGGGATTGAGAAAATTGGGAAGCCATTAGTGCATGATTAATTGAGTATAAACTATTTTAAATTTCAAAAATAGATTAATATGATTTTTTAAAGCAACTTTTCTATGGAAAATTTTTGCAAAAAACACATCGTTTAGTAGTTTGGGAAGCGTACGCGCGAAAAACGAGGTGTTTTCTCACCCTATGTCACACAAACGAACACAGCCTTACTCTTGTTCATTCCTTTGCTTGATTTGGGTATTTGCCACCATGCATCCAATGCAAGTAGTGAAGCAGATGCATACTTATTGCACACCTTGACAGGGAGTACTGTATAGTTTCTTCTCTAGGTCTGGTGATGGCTACCAATGATTCAGAAACTGCATCCACCGTGCTCTCTGGTTGGAATCAATGCTTTGATAAGGATATCAGCTCAAGCTATGCAATCCTCAAAATAGGGGTAGGGGTGGGAACATAAGAGGCAAGGTTTGGTCTTTGATACTCAAATTGTTGAATACTCGCCTATGGTGCGGATTAGTCATTGTTTTGGGGCATATCTAGTCAAACTTTATAAACTTTGGACATTTGCCTTGTTATATAAAGTTTCACAACATTTTCCTCAATAAATAACTGGAGAGAGTATTGGATGCACACAATTATGCAATTTGTGAAAACACCAGGTGGCTTTAATTTGTCCAATACTTCAAATATATTTTTTTCTTACTTCTTATACATATCAGAAGATAATTTTCCCGGTTGCGAAGTCCTGCCGAATAAACTAGGCATCCTATGGATAAAACCATCACGAATATTGGTATTGTTTTTAACGATTATACAATATCCATCGCGAATATTAACTTTTTTTTGTTTATTTTGTCATATAAAAAAACCTTAATACAATAGTCTATTTGTAAAATTAGGTGTCGAATATATAGTGGAATATCTGGTTCCTAGCGGCACGATATGTGTCGTGTTCCAAAGAAAAAAGTATATGTTGTACTTGCATCCTTTGAAAACACTCTTCTATGACAGTGTCCAAGTTAACAAATGATCTAATAGTTGTGCTACCCAAATTGATATCCATTTTTTTTAAATCATTGGTTTTTCAAAAACAAACTTAAAAGATTTTTCAACCTTAAATCAAAATGGCATATCACCCTGAATATGGTCTAAAGATGATAAGTAAACAATATGAAAAGTTCAAGAAAGAATGGTGTCCGGTTTTGAATTTTATGCATGAATAAAAAAACATGTTAAAAATTAACGAAAATATGCAAGAGCTCTATAGAATTTAACATCGATGGCAACATGCTATTTTTACCTATAAGGCAGTACAACTATTATACTAGTATACTGTATGAACTAATGCTCTGATTCAATTAATACCTGCAGCATACCAGCATGTAGCCATGTACACAAATATAGAATTAAAGGCTGAGCCTGCAAATTGTCTCCTCTCTTGACCCCATGAAGTTAATTTGTCTTGATGAATAACACATGCATCTTCCATTCCCTAGGGGAAATGAATGCTAGAAATAGAAAGAGCAAGCTAGCTCCTGGGAACTTAGCATTCCATGATGGTGATGCCCTCTTCTACAACTCACTTGAGATTGTGTGCTCATCCACCTGCTTGCCATCAAATGGCTTTGGATTCTGGAGCACTACAAGTTTAGAGCAATATATTGATTACCCTCTCATCATGGTGAGATAAATATCTATATGGTTTACCTTAACTTCAACAGCTCAGAGTAATATGTATTTCCTTCGGTTTCAAAATTCTTAACGTTTTGAACACGGTTAGAACCAAACTTTTATAACTTTGACCATAAATAAATTTAAAAATATTTAGTTTAAAAGCACTAAAATAACATATATAGATTTATTTTATAAAGTACTATAATAAAAAAAGGTATATTTATTTATTGTATATATTATAACAAAAAACATAGTCAGATATTTAGAAAACCGTGTCATTGTCCAAAACGTCAAGAATTATGAAACCGGAGGGAGTAGAATTTATTAATTAATTGTAGAAACATACAGTTCATGTCAGACTACACACTAGTACACAACTAGGTAGAAATGACTAACATGCTGATTAACTATATGCTATATATGACATTGAATCCTAAATATTCATAGATAACACACTGTATTTCCCCTGCACTAATACTATACTACTATACTAAATATTCTGAAAACAAAATAGAGAGAAAGATGAGGGGGGAGGAAAAATAAAAAGGACAGAGATTCCCCTGATCCTGAAAGCCAGGCTAAAAGGGTTGGGACTTGGGAGCCACTTTGTCCCTAGTTTCAATTCAAGGAGGCCCTCTGTGTCAATCCATTAGATATGCCACTACTCTCTGTTCTTTGGACTAGTATAACTCTGCATCCAGACGAGGGAGCAGCAGCCAGCAAGGAGATCAGTGTGGAGCTGGACCTAAGCTTCGCATGCATATATGCATGCTACCCTGCATCCATTTCTGAAACCTAGAGGAGTAAACTAGTTATAGTACTGTACATAGTGATATCATCTCCTGTAATATGATTCAAGAGAAGGTTGGCCTCTCCATATATTTCTTCTCACTTCATCCTCTCAAAACTAGCTTCTTCTGTTTCTTGTGCACTGCATATAATAAGCTAGCTTAGCTAGCCAACAGGTTCCAATATTCATGCTGCTCTCTTCTTCTGTGTTTTCCTCTCTACCATGTAGCATATCTCTCTCTCTTAATTATTTGTCTTCAAATTAATCTGATCTGTTGCTTTTCAAAGTTCCAAACCCTCTTGTCTTCTTGATCTCCTATATATATAGGAGCATTGATAATTCTCTATTGTTTATATTTCACTGATCTCTACCTTTTTTTTCTTCTTCTTTAGTAAATTAAGCGCTAAACAATGATTTTATACTGCAGATGTTTGTTTGGAAGCTGTCAAAATATGACATACTGGATGATCAAAACCCTATATCTCCCATCAGTATCAACAACAGCGTAAGCAGTTTCTTCGGTTGCCACAGTGGCAAGAGGGAGGAAGAAACATCATCATCCATCATGATTTTAATACAAGATCCTCCTCAAACAGCATTGTTTTACATCATACCTGAAAAAGTAGCTACGAAATCGTTCCATATAGCATTGCAAGTACAAGTAAGCATTGTGATGTTCTCGTAGCTTGCGAACCGGTGCTACCCCGACTGAGCTTTTCTTCTTCTAAAAACTTCTCCAACCACCATACATCTTTTCTGGTGCTTTATTTGTGCTAGAATTAATATTCTTGACCTTGTAAGGCCTTTTTCTTGACCTTGTAAGGCCCTCTCACATCGTTTTCCATCTCATTATGTACCTCGTGCATCTCTTTCTTGATATCTACAAGAATGAACCTGCCATCGCCAAGTTGGCCAGCCATCTCCTACCTCATGTTCCCTTCTCCCTTCTATCCCTCCTGAGCTAGCTGCACCATCATAGCCTTTTTATGAGATAATCTCAATTAATGGCTAGTGTTTTTAGGCACTTGTGAGTTTCTCCCACATCCTAGTAGTTAATGCTACTTCTGGTCATCCATTGATTTGCTCTTATATGCAAAATATAAATGCAATGGAAGCTTGTCTTTCTCATTGAAGTTATCACTCACCAAATGGTGCTGATCGAAATTTGTAATGATGTAATTTTGTAATTCTCATTTGATTAATGTGACATTTCCTTCTTGCAACTTATAATTGTAGTGCTCATGGATGAATGCTTTTGTGATTTGTAATGGTAGATCAGAATCAAAACATTAATCCTTGGCTTCATGGGGGCCTCCATGCATGCATGAGATAGCAGGCTGCTGCCTGCAGGTTATTTTTTTGCATGCATGTATGTTTGGTTTCGTCAGGGCATGGGTCCCCCGTCCCCAGCACTTTGGGAAATCAAATTAAGGTGTTTTGTGGCAGTTTCAAACTTTCAATGTAGAAGTATCATAATTGCTAAACATGCCCAACACTGTTGGTTTGAAACTCAGTCAAAAAAATTAACCTTGCGATTGCCGTCGAGATTCATGCTTCACACCTCCTCTTTCTCCTACTTCAATGAGCGCATCACCTTTTTCCAGACCAACGAGCTTATTTTAACTTAGTGTTACTTCCTACGTCCCAAAATATAAGTATTTTTTAAGATAGGTATGGATATTAAAAAAAGTAGGTAGAGATGATTGAAGTGGTGTAATTAGTGGAGAAGATAAAGTAGGTGAAAAGAATGGTTATGATTGGTTGAGAGAAGATGGTAGGTGGAGAAATATCTTCATTTTAAGACGGAGGTAGTATATGTTATTATAGATCTATGGAGAAACTAGGGGTGCTAGAAGCCTACGTTAAAACCTGCACACCTTTATCTATATATGATGATAATAACCGTCATCCAGGCATTACAATAGGAGGGCGGCACATGGCTGGATAGGATGCGACTACAATCTCTATATAGCTAACAACCTACTCCTTCCGTCAAAAAAAATAAATAAATCTAGGATTAAAGATGGCATATTTCAGTACGATAAATCTGGACAAGAGTCTATCTAAATTTGTTGTACTAGAATATGTCACATTCAATTCTAAGTTTGTTTTTTTATAGGGCGGAGGGAGTATACATCCAACCAATCATGAGTACACCATTGCAATATATGAAGATATACATGAGTGTTTCACGAGATCTTTCTGTGAACTACTGCTAGGATGATGGTGGTGAGAGGGAGGAATTAAGGGGAACAATGGTTTTAAAGAGTAATTATTTGTAAAAGTAGAGCTATTTTCCCTTGAGAAATTAAATAAAGCCCATAAAGATAGAGGAGAAGCTAAGATAAGCAACATAAATGGAGTATATATAGCGCTTAACTATGTCTGTATGAGTGTGATGGATGGATGGATTAGACATAGATTCTTGCACGCATGTGCATGCATGCCTCTCTGGCGCATAGTATGCACCTGCACCCACCACCCATCAAGTCGATCTACGGTCAAAAACCATCCATCCATCATATGATGATGCACCGTTTCAACACCTGCAAAATGCAGTACCGCAGACAATACGGACGGCCATGCAACATACGCATGCGTGTGGTGACTGAACTCATCGAGTGTATTCGTACCTGTAGGCCCAATCTGATGGGGTTCGACTTACCGTGGCAGTGTACTGTAATAGAAAAACCACGGTAATCTTCTTAAATTTAAATAAATTTAAAAAATAATTTAAATTTTTAATAAATTTTACACGGTTTCATACGGTTTTTCACGGTTACCGCACGGTAATTGTGCTTACCGCCGGGGCGCGGTAACCCCGGCCCTGACGGTTTGGGAAACCCTTGGAACATAGATTTTTCACACAAAATGGCAAGCACAGCACAGGCCATGTGTTTATTTATAAATGAAAAAAACATGTTTTCAAATTAATTGTGCCTTTGTTTTGGAGGAGGATCGGGGCAAATTGATGGTATATATGATTCGTTATATTTTTATAAGATGTTATTGATGTCTTAGTTAGAGAAACTAAATAGTACTAGCTAGGTGGGTACCCCGCACGTTGCTACGGGAGAATTATATGATAATATAAAAGATATAACTTCTAAAATTTTCTTTCTTACCTAGCTACTATACGATTTTTTCCATGTGTTTATAATTTTTTTACCTTTATCAATTATATATAGGTTATAAATAATTGGGTTGTATGGTATGCCTTTTTTTTTTGGGCGGGGTGGGGAGATGTAATTTATACTCTTTATAAATCATTCAAAAGCTAAAAACAATTGAGGTGATGTGAAAAGATGCAATTTATATCCTTGATGAATCATCCAAACGCTAAAAACAATTGAGGTGATGCGGTTTTACGAGAGAATAGAGAATTAGCATTAACTACACTTAGTGGGAATGAACTTTATAGATATATAGGATATGCCTCGACCAAATTCATGCGTGCATGAATGCACACAACCATACATAATAATATAATACTCCCTCCGTCCCAAAATATAAGCATTTTTAGACTCTAACACGGTTTCCGAAATACTATTTTGACCAACAATATCTATAAAAGTATTATGTTTTAAATAAAAGGAGTTACATATTATAATAGTTGTTTAATGATAAATCTAGCAACATCAATTTTATATGTTGGTCTTTTTATATTTTTTTCTATTAATAGTTAAAGTTAAAAATGTTTGGCTTTTTATTATTTTAAAAATGTTTATATTTTGGGACGGACGGAGCAGTAGTATATGTCGCATCAGAGATAAAGTAGCATGAGTTTTATGTATGGCACATAAGTGTAATTATATAATATCTCCGTTGATTCTTAAGGACGGTTTTATTTTTGATATTTTCATGCTTGAGGAGGCATTGAGAGATACATACTCCATCTATAATTTTTAAAAGTGTCTTTTTAGTTATAAACCTGAACTCTCTTTTAGGGACGGAGCTAGCTAGGGGGTATTTTATTGTATTAAGTTTGGCACCTATGGGTAGATGTGATCGTAAAATCAGTTTATTTATTTTAAATATTTTGTTAAATTTACATTTTGTCAGTTAAGGACCAAGAGTTGATTGCCTCCTGATTCTTTCTCCCCCTCCCCCCCACACCCCATAGTAAGGCACATAAACGTCCTGTGAATTCTAATAAATAAATTGTCTGAAAATACCTGATATTAAGTGGGTACAAAGAAATATATATACACAAGTTAATTGATACTACTAATTGTTTATAAGGCGTGCATATGCAGCAAAAGCTACAGGGGTGGCAACATAGCCGGGCAGTCACACCAGTGTGAAAAAGTGAAAACCCCAATCGTATGATTCATATGCATGATCCATTAAAAGAAAATTCAAAGAATTAGTGGAAGAACGAATTGAATTAGAGAAGAGAGGTCATGGATTACTTGTACTTACCAACGTTTAAGAGCAAAGCACTAGCTTAGCTTAGTCAGCGGGTCAATGCCACACAGGTGGATCATTTTGGACGGCCAGGATGTCGCCCCTAGTGGCCGAAGACGACCAATCTGAGCCGTTGATGATGGATATATAAATACCGGAATCCGCACGAGTGGGGCTCGCCTGCCTTATCTGGTCGCCGACGTCACCGTTGCTGACCGCTGTTTGACCCGACGACCGGAGACCGATGCTTTGACCGTCCAGCTGGGCGTCCACGTCATCTGCTTGGTTGGCAGCTAGCTTATTAACCCCACGTTTATAATGCCATTAAGACCTAGCTTATTGGATTGTTTTGGTAATAATTAACTTGACAAGAATGGCGGCTAAGATACATTTATGGATGATTTTTTTTGGTAAAATCATTAAAAAAAAGTTTATAAGACATGATGGAAACCCCAGGGCATGTTCTTTTTCCCTAATTAAAATGATGAAATGTAAGAATATATGTACATTTCCTAAACTTCTTAAAATAGTATTCTAAATCTTTTTAAATTTATAATAGTCAATCTATTCGTTTGTGCCTTTAAATCGTTTTCTTTTCATCTATTCATTGTTCCATTTTCTTCCATTCATTGATAAATTAAAGAAGGGACACATCTACGTACCCAAGACGGGTGGAAAAAAATACTTTAGACAACCAAAAAAGCCAGTTCAGTCTATACAGACATATATAGATATACTCTCTCCTTCTCTAAATGTTTGACACCGTTAACTTTTCTAAACATGTTTGACCGTTCGTCTTATTTAAAAAACTTTTGTGAAATATGTAAAGCTACATGTATACATAAAAATATATTTAACAATGAATCAAATGATAGAAAAAGAATTAATAATTACTTAAAATTTTTAAATAAGATAAATGTTTAAACATATTTAAAAAAGTCAACGGCGTCTAACATTTAGAAATGAAGTATATGTTTTTAATTTCGATTACACATCAAACACACAGTACCACTACTATACGCACGCGCACTCGCTGAGACATCGATCCAAATCATATTAATCATGCATGTGAATGGTACACGAATTAAACCTATATATAGCTGGCCAAACACGATTATTAGCTTGGCTAGAGATATGTGGCCAAATGTTAACCAGATCACAATTAAGTAGCGTGCAGGTAATAACTAGCTTGTAACAAAGCTATATATACGTGCCATATATACGCAAGTAGTGCATCGACCTTTGGTTAAACTATCCATTCTTTAGGATGTGGATAAGCAAAAGCTGGAGTTAAATTTGTTAATTACGAAGACTAAGCTTTGCTTAGCTTAGCTAGCTTCTCACACATCTTCTTGATCCGGTAGCTATTCGGTCTCCTTGGTCCAAAGCATATATGTATGTGTATTACGCGTGGTGGAATCTCTCCAATTCACCGACCTCTTATCATCATCATCATTATTGACTGGTAATCTTTGATTAATTAATGAACTTTGTTGCTCTTCCTTTCTTTTGTGGGCAACATGGAAACCACTGGAGGTATAGCCTCAAGGTTTGGGCCATGCTATGTCTGTAGAGCTAGGCTGTAGCTGTGTGGGCATTTCGCACAACAAAAATTAAAAAACCACAAGAAAACTTTGGAACGAAATGCATGTCATGCATTCAAAAGATGTCTCTGGAAGATGCCAGCATTTGATCAAGTTATTGTGTAACACCATGCATATTAGGGTTGTTCAATTTGCTAGCTACCATTTTCAACCATACTAAAATTTTTAACAAGGTAGAAACCTAAACACATCTCAAATACTCTACTATAACTTAGCATGTCAAATTTTGGTAATTTTCTATAAACTTCTTCATATAACAGTAATATACAAGAATATTTAGTATGGTTGCAGATCAAACAACACCTACATATTTTTACCTTAATTACCAAATTTTGGTGTTGTCAAAACCTAGCATGTCCGTTCCTGGAGGATTGGGTGAGAAAGTCCATTGTATTCCACGCGCACGCTTCCCAAACTATTAAACGGTGCATTTTTTGTAAAAATTTTCTATAGGAAAGTTGCTTTAAAAAATCATATTAATCCATTTTTAAAATTTAAAATAGTTAATACTCAATTAATCATGCGCTAATGGCTCACCTCGTTTTGCGTATCTTCCCAACCCCCTTCTCCTCAAACTCAAGCTTAGTAGGGTTATTTTTGGCTTGAAATTGAACAAACCCTTTAATTTCTTGTTGTTTTCACAGGACGTACAGAAACTGTGGCCGGTCATTGTTTACATCCTCCTCAACAATACTGTAGCTATTTGTATTTTAAGTTCATCGTGAAAAAGATAGGCAATTCTATTACTATGTTATGAAAATTATCCTATATATATATATATATATATATATATATATATATATATATATATATATATATATATGTTTGTTTCAAATTTGACCGAGAGCAAGTCCCAGAAGGATGCTTGGTATTTATACATCAGGTGTTTGCATTTGGGAAAGTTATTTATAGATATTCAATAAAAAATACTTACAAATTAATTTGTACATATATATGCTGGATTCAGCCAAACTTTCAAAATTTTAATTATCAATATATTTAAGTGTTTATGTCTGATACATTAGTGAAAAAATATAATATATATGGCTCGACCAACATTTTTGAAAAGCACTGTCATAATAATATTACAGTTTTATCAGACTTTACACAAATATATTACGATATAAAATTAATTAATGATCAAAATTTATACTTCTAAGACTTTGGTATGCAAAACACCATTATTTAATTTATGACTGGAAGGCGGTAAATAAAAAGGAATTTACACAATGGAGAGCGAGAGCTGATAATATAGAAACTGAAATGAGAAAATGTGTATTTTGTGCTTCAAGCATTGGTTTTTTACACTTGAGGATGCCGGACAAGCTTGAATATATGTGATGCAACTCTAGCTACGCATGCAAAAGTAAAACCAAAGAACTCAAAAATCTTATATAATTAATTAAGAGGAAAAAAAATGAAGGACATATACACATGCATGTTTGGAGTTTGGAACACCTGCTAATTAAGTCTACATATATATCAACTTTAATTAGTTAACTAAAAGTTCCCTTCTTCATCTGGCAACTTCTGTTCTATACTAGTATATGCATTTATATATGTTCTATCATCCTCGATCGAGCTGAGAATAATTTACATGTTTTTTTTATACTTTCATCTGGTTTATCTTTAACTAATCCTCTCACTAATTAATTTGCTGATCTGTAGAAATTCTGTATATGATGCATGCATCATCAACACTGCTGGTGCAGCCAAATGTCCTCAAGGCTCCATAAGTTGTCCTCGAAATCTCCGAGCTCATCGAAGTCCGGCAAGCCGGCGGTGGCGGCGATGGTGGTGGTGGTGGTGGCAAGAAGCTCCGACCAGCTGCCGCTAAGCACGTCGCCGTGGATCGTGTCGTTCTCCGCCGCCGCCGACGACGACCGGAGCGTGCTGGATGCGTCGTCGGGGCTCATGGTCACCGCCGCCTGGCTCGGCTCGCTGCAGCTCGTGTCGCCGCCGCCGCCGCAGCCGTGGTGGTGGTACGCTTCGCTACTCACCGCCGGCGCCACCACCATGGCGCCGGCGGCGAGCGGAATCTGCTGGTGGTGGAGGTACATCGCGCCAGCCGGCGAGCTCATCGACCTCGTCGCCGCCGCCGACACCGGCGCCGGTGCCGCAACTTCGCCGGCGGCGGCGGCGTCGGCCTGGATCCGCTCGATGAGGCGCGGCATCCAGACGTGGCGGACGACGTCGCGGAACTCCTTGCTGTTGACGTCGCACCTCAGCTGCTTCGCGTGCTTTTGCACTCTGGTCCTCCAATAATTCTTTATTTCGTTATCAGTCCTCCCCGGCAAATACTGCGCGATCTTAGACCACCTGGCACACAGAAGTATTCGCATTTAGGTCCCTGGAAAGGACTGAAGTGTAATTAATTAAGGTAATTAAATTAATTACCGGTTGCCCCAGCGAGAGTGGAGGTCGAGGATGAGGAGCTGCTCGTCGGCGGTGATGTTGCCGCGGCGGACGTCGGGGCGGAGGTAGTTCAGCCACCGGAGACGGCAGCTCTTGCCGGTGCGCCTCAGCCCTACACGTGTCCACACTCTAAGTCCATCAGCTAGTGCAAAATTAACCGATCGACTAATCACTGAAGATTAATTTTATATCTTTGATTTTTTGCATGCAGAGATTAATTGATGAGGATGGAGAGAGAGCTCGCGCAATGAAGCTTAACTAGCTAAACTAGATAAGCTTCTAGAATATTCCAGATTAAGACGTGCACTAGCTAGCTTATCGTGCTCAGTGGAGCAAGCCAAATAGGCAACACAACAGTATTGGCTATTTGGCACACAGAGATCGTTAACTATTTAATTAATCTCAATCTCTGATCGATCGATCGAATGATCAACTGATTAATCAATTGACTGAATAATTAATTAATCACCTGCACAGCGAGCAAGCGAGTTCCAGCGACCCTCGCCGTGGTTGGCGATGTAGTCGACGAGCAGCATGTCCTCCTCCACCGTCCATGGCCCCCTCCTCAGGTCGCCCTCGTCCTCGCTCGCCGCCGCCGCCGTCGCCGACGACATCGCCGGGCTCATCGCCATCCTCATCATCTCCATCTCCAAATCCATCGATCGATCTCAGTAGCTAGCTAGTGATCAGCTGTAGCTGTGGGGTGTGTTTGAGAATGGAGGAGATGTCGAGAGGGAGGCAGGGTTTATATAGGAGGGGGGACATGTGGGGTTGGGAGGAGGACGACGACGACGATGGCTAATGATGATGCGGATGGATGCTGCTAATGACTGTGGTTAGAGCCGCAATTAGCTGGCTGGCTGTTAATTGTATAGAGACAGTTTTAAAAGCCTAAAGTGGAGGAGGGGGGTGTCGCGGGAATAAACAATTCAAGCGGCTTAAGAAAACAACGTGTCTGTCTAGCTGCTCCGACCAGTCAACCGTTGAACGTTGACTCCCCATGTAATGGTGTCATGGCCAGCACTATTAGCTGTAAAAACCGTTTAGCTATTCTACTCGTTTCTCTAACCTAAACACCGTACCCTTAATTTGTTTTGCCTATTTAGGGTTTATTATTTCAAACGTATAAATATTTCAGAATCATATAAATTAGATTATTTTATCAATCACGCCCATAAAATTTGGACGCAACTAGTGGCTGATATATACGCTAGGAAAAACATATCGGATTGTACTCCATCACTTGTCAAGAATTATTTTAGATGTTTCATCGCTCGATGAAAAATATTTCAATCAGATGCAACATTCAAAAATATTAATTGCAAACCTAATTGACCAATATGCACATAAACAGTAAAAGAAAACGATAAAGAAAAACAAATGTTGCCATGCAAGAACCTTCGAGATGGTGAAGGGTGCAACACGGCTTTGATGAGATCACGTGTGAGCAAGGATTTAAATCTCCGGCTATAGCAGTAGAAGCAACCGCTAAGATATGTCTAATTTACAGCTACACGTTCTAAGGCGCTATTAGCTGCCTTTAGCTGGAGATAGCCGCTAAATGGGCTCTCAAGTAGCGGCAGCTAACTCGTTGGTGGGCTGAAATCCTGAAATTGGCGAACGGCCCATATCACCTAACGAAACCCTAACTCTCTCCATCTTCCACTCAGTCACTCTCCGTCCTCTCCTGTCGACGGCGGCTTGCAGGCTTGCAGCGGCTGCTCAAGGAGGCAGCAGCAGCCGCGACGGCGGTTGATCCCGAAGGCGGTGGCTATGACCTGCAGTGGCGGCAGCTGCTCCCGAAGGTGGTGGCTGCGACCTGCTGCGGCAACGGTGGCGGCGGCGGTGGTGACTCTCGAAGACAACGGATCCACCAATCTCGGCCCCAAGCGACGACTGTGACAGGTGGCGGCGGCAGCTATTGGTGTTGCAAGCGGTGGGCGGCGGTGCTTGTTCTGTCAGTATTCTTTTTCTTGTGCTCGAGCCAACCTTGTGTTGTTTCTTGGTTCAGAGATGGGTTGGTGGCTTGGCTGCTCATGAATTGTTTCTTCTTGGTTTGTTGGTGGCTTGGCTGCTCATGAATTGTTTCTTCTTGGTTTGGTTGGTTGCAGTAGCCTCAGGGTGAGGAGTATGGAGGTTCTTGAATTGTTTTTTTTGTTCAAGTTCAGGAATTCACGGGGGAGGAATTCATGGGCATGTTCCTCCTGTAATTTAGCAAGATGGTTGAGGAAGTGGTGAGGATTTGATCCTACTGATTATCAAGCAATTCCTCTCTCCCTAGTCTTCTCTGCTTTCCCCAAGTTAAATAGCTTTCTCTTCCATATAACTGATTATCAAGTTATTTATGTCTAATTTTTGCAAAAACCGCTTAATAGCTTAGCTGCAGCTATAGCCAGCTATAGCTGATCATAGATGATAGAGAACCTAGCAGCTAAATGTCTTAGCCGGAGATTTAAATTCTTGCGTGTGAGTGCAACCTTCAATCAATCAGAGTGAAACACTTGAAGACAACAAAATGCAACATGAAAAGCAATAAATTCAAATAAAAATCCTTAAACTTCGACAAATAGCCTTCTATCCGCTTTCTTCCTCTACTCTAGTGGCCGAATCTGCCTTCTTCCTCCACTCTGGTTGAGGTCGATCAGGAGTGTATGGCAGTAGCCACCGCGACCCCAGTGATAGAGGAAATGAGGGCCACATTCTCCACGGAGAGGTTGTTGTGTGAGTAAACGATTCAAGCGCCTTAAGAAAACAGCATGTCTGTCTAGATGCTTCGACCGCTCAACCGTTGAATGTTTACCCCCCACTTTTCTAATCAAACAATAATAACACTACAATTTTTTGAGTAAATTTTAGAGCCCTTATATTATGGTTCAAGTTGCACAAAACTACCACAAAAATTTTAACAAGTGGTACATAATCAAGATTATGTATTATGGCTTTAGTGTTTATAAAAGCACACTATTGATCAATCTGCTTAATATTGTAGCAGATAAAAAATAATACTAATGAACTTATATGGCTGCAGCTTTCTTGAATTAAAGTACTCATAAATTTCAGACATAACTTTATAACTCATATGTAGGGGAGATCAAAGAAAAACTAACTATAATGTATATATGGGTTAACTCTTGTGTTTTATGTAACTACTTGAGCATAGTATGTGGGGTTTTATGAAATTATTTTTTAATAATAGAAATTGCCACACAGCCCGTTAATAACACTGTCGGATGACAACTCGATCTAAAGAATAAAAGATCAGCAGATGGCAAGAATTAAAAATTTAAAAGTAAGCAGAATATCTGCTTTGTCGACAGAGGAAGCCTACTAGTAATTATACTGGATACTGTGGAATGGTTTCAAAGATGCAGCAAGACTTGAATGGCATTAATTAGTTTGTTAATCTAATCCATGGAAGGAATAATGCAAAGGCCAGAATTATTGCATATGATTCCTCTTGAACCGCAAAGTAGAAATACTTTTTCTGTTTTTCCAGCCGTAGTAGTGATAAAGAGATCATTAGCTGTTTATTTTAAGGGTGAGGGATCGATCAATTACCAATAGCTGCTTAGCTAAGTTCGAATTGATCCGGATTGTTAAGAGTAAGAGGAGCGGGCATCTTTGAACACCAAGGAACTTGTGCTATATGCGATATGAATTCAAAAGGTCGAATTTGGTGTATTCCTAGATATATCCAAGTAGCTGTCACTACTAGAAAAAGTATTTTCGCAGGCGGCCAAAAGTGATTTTTGCAGGCGGAGGGCAGGACCGCCTGCATCCCAACGTTTTCGCAGTCGGGGCAATGGCCCGCCTGCGAAAATCCGTTGAGCGAGCAAAAAAAATTGCAGGCGCCTCGCCGCCGCCACCATGCGCCTTGCGTCGCCGCCGCCACCACGCGCCTCACCGTCGTCGTCGCCGTCCACGCCGCCGCCGTCCCGCACCGTCGTCGCACCGCCGCCCCTGTCGGCCTCCCCCCTCCCTCCTCCGGCCAGATCTGGGAGGGAGGGGGAGGGGAGCCGCTGCGCCGCACCACGCCGTCGTCACTGCCGCCGCCCCCGCCGGCCTCCCCCCTCCCTCCTCCGGCCAGATCTGGGAGGGAGGGGGGAGGGGAGCCGCCGCCGCCACCCCTGCCGTCCTCCGGTCCGTGCTTCGCTGCCGGCCGCCGGCCACCCCCCCTCTGGCCAGATCTGGAGGGGAGGGAGGGAGGGGAGCCGCCGCCGGCCGCCTCGCCGCGCCCGGCCACCGTCCACCCTTCCAAGCCGGCCGCCGGCCTCCCCCCTCCCCCCTCTGGCCAGATCTGGAGGGGAGGGAGGGAGGGGAGCCGCCGCCGGCCGCCCCGCCACGCCCGGTCGCCGAAGGCCCCGCCGCGCCCGGCCGCCGTCCGCCCTTCGCCGCCGGCGGGGAGGTGAAGGGGAGGAGAGGAGAGTGAGGGGAGGGAAGAGGAGAGTGAGGGGAGAGGTGAAGGGAGAGGAAAAGACACTTAGAAAATATCAGCCCATGTGCCTCATATATATACCTCGCTAATTTTCGCAGGCGCACCTTGTGTGTCGCAGGCGGACGGCAAACTTCACGCCTATTTGCATTTCTGTAGACGGCTATTTGGCTCTAAGGGCTATGTCCGCCTGCGAAAATAAATACCCAATGTTGACGAAAATGCTTTTTCTAGCCGCGTGTCAAAAGTTGTAGTTCAATATATAATTCAATTAATTTGCCATTCATTATATTGATCAGGCTCCTACTTTGATTAACTTGTCTACATAACGGATGACATGCCTCCATAGTTTGGGACTAATTAAGCAGCTCTCTATCCACTGAAGAGTGTGCTGGGAAGTGGCATATTAGCATAGGTAGCATATTAGCATAGCTAGCTAGTTAACTAATTAATTGAGATGGAGTTTCTTGCCTAACTTGTATGTACCAAAGCGTAAGCTGTGAATCGAATGAAATATCTGTTTTTTTAATAATAACAGTAATACGAAATTTGTTAAGAGAGAAAACCATACAGGTGAAAAAAGAGTTAACGATTATGTTATCTCGATCTTAATTTGGTCGCTATGGTATCACCACCTTTGTACTCGAGTTGTGATTTCGAAGAAACTGATTATTTTTGCTGAAAATATCCGTGGTACAATAATCCTGTGGTGAGAAGTTGACAAGAGTTTATACACAAAAGAACCTAGATCGACCATGCAATACACATGGCAAGAAAGACGCTTTTTTTGGGGGAGATGAAGAAGATTCTTCTAACTAATTAACCAAAATGGATAGCTAGCCATGGTCACTGTAAGAGTTCTTTCAATGCTACATATATGTGCAAGAGTTGGCAGGTTTTGTTGCACTTAATTAATTTTCAAAGGCTTCATCGTCACTAGCTGACTTCTTAGCATTCTATGAGCAAAAGAATAAAACAATATAGCTCTGTAGAAAATTAGCAATTGCATGAAGGTCTTAATTAGTCTTGGCCTAGTCTCTGGGATTCAATTTATCTTGGATACATTCATGCACCTTCTCCTCCTTTGCGACACTAACAACAAATAGCTAGTACTTGTCTACAAGCTGAGTCCAAACCAAATGATCCTGCAAAAACAAAATAATAAGTGGCGGCAATTGAACTTCTAGATTAGTACTCTTGTTCTTTCTTGGCTGCATGTGTGCTGCATTCCTTTATTAAACTAACAACCACGTTTGAGAATTGATCTCTCCTGGTCAAAGAGGCTGCAACTACTCCCTTCATCCCATAATATAAGAGATTTTGACATTTAATTTGCTTGCACTGTTTAACCACTC